CTGAAGAGTATGTGTGGCAGTCAGTCACCGCACCGGTGTGGATATTTACTGTACTTCGTAATCACAGATTCTAGCCTATGTCTTGGAATATGACCCAAATAAGAGTTTTCACTGGATATTGTCATCTGAACAAGTAACAAGTCTGCCACTTTTGTTCTGACCAACTGAGAAAAAAAAAGCATTACAGTAAATCGCTCTACCAATGCTGATTAAATCTAACGATCAGTTAGCTCATATCACATCAAACCGTGCAAATTATTATTGTTAAACTTTGTTCTCAAATTGTTAATGTTAACAACATCAGCATTGCGTGACTATGTGTATATAGTGTGTATTATAGGGATGTAACAATATCAAAATCTCATGATATGATAATATTGTGATATGAAGTCCACGATACGATATTTATTGCGATATTTAAAAAGAAAAAAGAGAAATGAAGAATTGAAAAAATAATAACAACAACAATGACAGTAGTAGCATATTGTAAAACAATTGCACTGTAAAATAAATGAAAATGAATATTTCATAGGTATATTATTTTTGCTTTACACTACAGTAGGGAAATTACAATACTTCTTTCCTAATTTCTACACTTGAAAGAGATATTTTGAATTTGGACTATAGTAACGTTACCCATTTAAACCTCTAGCTGTCAGCAATTCATGCTGCACTTTTAAGCTTTTATTTTGATGGAAACGGCAGTAACGTTAGAGCTTTTATTTTAAAGGGAACGCAGCTTCTGTGAAAATACAAAAATGCGTCTCACTACAAATCTAGTGAAATGCTGTAATCATCTGCCGCGAAAATAAAGCATAAAGCGTTCCTAAACGCGCGCTAAACTCACAGCATATGCAATAAACGAGTTCACTGCATTAATTCACTGTGAACACCGGATCACGAGCTGATCGCCTCAACAATGTGTGCGCTTCGCTTTGGCACACGCTGCAAAAACAGACTTGATAAAAGGATTAAGCCATATTGTGCTTTCAGTTTTAGTTCGTTTGACAGATACTGTGCCAAGGCATAATGGCTTAAAACAAATATATTTTTGCCCAGAAGACCTATTGTTTCATATCGTCATGCGACCACGATAATATCGAGTTTTGCTATCCCAAGTGTATTAGCATGTAGATTTCAATTTCTGTACAGTCTAATCTCTAATTGTCATACCATTCAAATTTCATATTAAGAAATTATTTTAACCCAAAAAGCTAATTATTCTTCATTCGAACTGGTTCTCTTTAAAATACAAATCATGTGTAATCCCAGGCTATCTGTAATCAGATGCACATTTAAAACTGGAATAATTTAATTTCAGTCACGTGTTTCATAAACACATAATACTTTCTGGATTACAATCCGCCATCAAAATGATCAATTTAATTATTCCAGCTGCTGCAGAAAAGGTTAGTAATAATCCGCCACCTGCAGGATCCTCACATGCGATATATAGCCTACTAGCCGGGACTCCTTCTTTATGTTTACAGACGTGCAGCGGCATTCTCGAATTTCCCGCGAATTCCTACCAATACCACTCAAATTAGAAAACATTATTATAAGCTTACTGTTGTGAATCGGGCTAAAGTAAGGCGATAGTTTTGAACACTGGCTGGTTATGTACTTGCTCAAATATTGATTTTGGAAAAAAAATTTTACCAAAAAAAGTTACGGACTGCAGCTTTAGTTAAATTTTTTTTACCTGCTAAAATATTTTTCAGTAGTAAAATGTCTAGAAATCACACGTTTAAAATGAGATGTACTTGTATTTTCAAATGGGGGCTGAAAATTTTTTTCTAAATACATAAATGAAATTTAAGTACGATTAAAAGTAAGTAGGCAGTGTGTCAGCTCACTAGAACAAAGTTATTGTGTCTTTTAACAAATGCATTTTTAAATACAATGAGCATCTCTGAGGAGCTAAAAGGGGGAAAACAGTCATCTTGAGCCTATAATGACTGTGAATATATTTGTCTCAATTAAATAGTTGAAACGAGCCTGTAAAAGCTGAATAGTAAAAGCACCAGCAGCAGTGCATTCGATGCATGCCATGGGCCAAAAATGTTTTAATTCATTCCTGTTGGAAAGGTGGCCAGTAGAGCTGTTGGTGCTTTTATTAGAAAGTAATTACGTCCCCACCTCCAGTCATTATGTTTCATATATATATAGCAGTCACTCTTTCCTCTAGCTTGTTATATTGTGCCTTTCTTTCAAATGTTATGCTCTGGGGTACAGCTCAAGCTTTGATAAATTCTGAGGTCCACTTACTTGTTCCGACAGTAGAGAGCTATGCAGAGGGTGCCTAGAAAGCTGATCCCCATGGCAATACATGTGATAGACATCACTTGTCTTTTGTACACCTCCTTGCTCTCTGTTGGGACAAAACAAACAAGGAGGAAAAACATGAGCAAAACATTCATTGCTATACAAAAACAAGTATGTAGCACATATGAAGATGCATCTACAGAGAAACAATGACAATGAATGCAGCACATCACTAAATATTTGCTGCTGTAATAGAGGTGGCCTGGAATAAGAGAATAAAACATGGCTGGCTGCACTAGTGGGAGCTTGATTTTTCAAAATGCTAGTTTGCAATGCGACAAAACCCCCTATGTAACTGTCAGGGAGTCATGAAACTGAATTGCTGAAAAGAGGCGAGTAATAGATTTTATTATATATTTATTTTGTGGGGATAGATGGCACAGGACAAGTGTTCAAACCTAAATGGACACTATTAAGTGTGAAAAATAGCAGCTGTCATTTCTCATATGAAAGAGTAAATCACGCTTGTCTTCACAACTGTTAATAGGCAATCAATCAGATATACTCAGACACAACACACTCTACAAGAGCGGCCACTAACTTCACACTGAATACACTGGAGTATAATGAATGTGCCAGCTACATGATTAGTAATAAAGCAATCGTGAGTTTTACAAGGTCAGACTCAAAGCAGTGTTAACCTTGCAGGTGAAATTAACATGGTAAAGTCATCATGGCTACCCAAAGTAATATCATACTCCCTTGAGTGCATTTTAGTAACCTCCCCAGGCAGTTATTTCATATGGAAGTTAGGACTGTGCAAAAAATCGAATGTGAATGTGATCATCTTGTCAGTAGAGCCGCTCCTGTGATTAGTAGTAAATCTCCAGCACGTGCTTTCAGATGGAGCGGCATTTACTACACAGAGCCGTAGTTCACTGACAAGCTACACAAAATCGCGTTCAAAATCGCAGGCGATTCATTGCCGATTTTGAACGCGATTTTGTGGAGCTTGTCAGTGAACTACGGCTCTGTGTAGTAAATGCCGTATCTGTCTGAGTATAATCTGATTGATAGCCTATTAACAGTTGTGAAGACAAGCGTGATTTACTCTTTCATATGAGAAATGACAGCTGCTATTTTTCACACTTAATAGTGTCCATTTAGATTTGAACACTTGTCCTGTGCCATCCATTTACTACTAACCACAGGAGCGGCTTTACTGACGAGATGCGCATGAAAATCGCATTCGATTTTTTGCACAGCCCTAATGGAAGTAATAGGCATACAGCTTTGAAAGGGTAAGGACCAAAATCTCCAAAAATATAAGTCACGATTGTGTTTCAATAATGTTGTGTTATTTTAAATCAGGAATAAAATCTGACAAAAAAGTGACATAAAAAAAATCAAGGCTAGAGTAAACTCGAAAACTATCATTATTATAACTATTGCAGTATATAATTGCTATTATATTTATTAATATTTTGAATTGTGTATACTATGTTTTTAATTTTAATTGCAGTTTTAGTGATTTTGTCATGTGCTTTTCTCGTTTTTATTATTTTATTTATTATTTCTCGCTTTATCCTATACCCATCACATTGAGTTTACTCATTCATATTTCCATGGGTGGTCCTTCTCCTCCTCCTTATAGTGTCGCTGGTAATATAGATATAATATATTACCCAACGGAAGTCCATTAACTTGCAGAAAAGATCAATAAATGAAAGTGCAAAACCTTGTAAAACTAATCAAGCATTGCTCAGTTTTCATTATTTATATATTCATTGTCATGCTTTACAAATTGACTTATTATTCTTATGCCATTATATGTCCATCACCGGCTAATAACCATGACTGAACTGCATAATGATTAAGACACCTGACATCTTAGTGGTGCTGCAGGCATCTCAAAGACAGATCAAAATTTTTGACCCCTTCATGTACACACACAACTTCAACACTTAAGATTTCCATATTTCCATTTCCATTCACGAAACATTGGGGTCATATTGGTGCAAAACTTTGTATATTATTTACGAAACACCCACAATCCAGCATAGAATGTAAATCTGTAAATGTAATTTAACCAATTATACTTTTCAGATTATTTTCAGAGCAAACATTTATCCTTTCTATGCAAATGAGGCTTATTATAGATATGCACGCTATTTGCCTGGCATAATTAACATTGTATTTTAACTTTGTAACTTTTTACATTTTTATTTAGAAGAGACATTTGTGTACATTTTCTTGCAATCATGGCAGCAGTAATTAAAAAAAATATGGAGAAGATCTCTATAACTGATATATCCAGACATGAGTTACTGTAGGCATCTGGATTGCAGTTGTGTAGCAATGTAGCAATGCTGTATAGTTCCAGCAAACTATGCCAGTGATAGTCATCCACAGCAAATAGGGATTGCACTATGCAAACAGCACCCAGCTCTAATTTCTTAGGTGTTTTTATGCTGTTTACTGATTTGAATAATTCTTTTAGTGAAAAGAGTGTGAACAGCTCATGCAAACCTATGGTGATATTAACAGGCGCAACTCATTCTTTGTGAATTCCCCTTAGAATTGATCCACAAGCAGTCAATCTGTAGAATATACATCTACATAAACCACAAGACTGAACTGTAACATGGTTTCTTAAGTAAGCAGTTAAGATACAATAAAGAGTCTATTCAACTCTGCAAAGGAAAATATCCTGTCAGTTCAGAGCTTAACAATGAGGACGGCCCACTGAAACGGCATCTTACATTTGTTGATCTTGTTCATGTTTTTATACCTTGAAAATTAAATGAAAAAAAGTGAATTTTACTGATTTAAACTCATTACCAAGGTAACATTATCTAGATAGATAACAAATTAATTATAAATAAATCAATGTTGGGCATCACGTGACATCATATGCCATAGCTTAAATTAAAATTAAAATTCTGTGTCTATTTTTTTTTTTTTTTTGCTTGTTTAAAAAAAAAACTTTCTTGGCAAGTATAGTCCACATTTTTTTTTCTAGGCAGGGCAAGTAAAAATCAAATGCTGAGCTTAGTATCGTGTATCGACGATAGTCAGAGATATCGACGATAGAAATTAAAATTCTTTGTCTTTTTTTTTTTTTTTTTTGCTTGTTTAAAAAAAAAACTTTCTTGGCAAGTATAGTCCACATTTTTTTTTCTAGGCAGGGCAAGTAAAAATCAAATGCTGAGCTTTGTTGTGCTTTTTAATTAGAAATAACAATAAATAACTTTTGTTTTAGTCTTAAAAAGTGAAAGGTGTATAGATATAAGCAAAGCAGACAATTATCTTTTATTGTAAAACCTGACACCAAGATCGCGAATTTGAAAGTGAAAGCGCACGAAAAGAGGAATTCTGGGAAGAATGAGTCTAGAGCCCTGATATATGTGCAATATTTTAACCGAACCCTCACTAACTGAGTTTAGTGCCACAGTTATGTTAAAACGCATCTCATCCTTGTTTCTGTGGCGGTGCGTCGGGCTCACCATGGGGCGCACGGTCCGGAGCGATGTATGACTGTTGTATCCGAATATATATGAACTAGCTGTTTTAAATATTTTTGTATTTAACATGTTAGTTTATCAGTATGTTTGAAAGTATATTATTTAGATTAGTGGTGCTTCCATAGGCTCCCTCTCTCTCTCT